AACAAATCACGACGTCGTGGGCCCAGGTGCTGGTCCGAGGGCCCAGACATCCGACGATTCAGATGTTCCCCCAAACAGTGCTTGCACTGACGAGAGTTTCTTGCTTGTGTTCTGGGAAGTACCTGGGCCCCAGTGGTCAGTTCGGCCAGCTCGTCGCTGCCCGTCGCCGGCCTCGTCACTGGGCCCCAGTGTCGGTTCGGCTGACGTGCCGCCGCCCGTCGCCGCCGTCGCCGCTGGGCCCCAGTGGCGGTCCAGCCAGCTCGTCGCCGCCCGTCGCCGCGTTGGCCCGTCGCCGCCGTCGCCGCTGCGCCCCAGTGGCGGTCCAGCCAGCTCATCGCCGCCAGTCGCCGCGTTGCCTGTCATTGGTTTGCATTGCTTTTGCATCGCATTGCGTTGCTTGAGCAGTGTGTTGCGTAGTTCTGCGCCACGTAGTTTGCACCACCCAGGTTGCACCTCCCAGATTGCACCACATGGACTGCACCGCCCAGGTTTGCACCAAAGGCAGACTGCGAGAAGCCATGCTGATTGGGGCGCGCGCTGGCTACAAGGCTCGTTTTCGTCCTGGCGTGTCCTCCCTCGATGCCCGGCATCCTCGGGGGCCCGCCGTCGGGCCCCGCCAGGACCAGAAGTGCCAGGAGGGGAAAAAACACACAGACACAATGAATCGACGATTCCCCAGAAAATATGCGAAAATATGGCAAGTGGGGGAGAAGGCAGAAGCCCAGAAAGTGTATGAAAAGATAGGGGGATCCTGGGATTTGCGTGTATTCGTTTGTGCGTGTGTGGGCCCCTTCGAAGTGGAGCTGGGACGGAGCGCCGACACCTGTGGGAAAGGGTCCAGAGACCTTTGGGAGTCCACGCCGTGAACAACACCTCGTCGCCGGGTGCGCCTGGAGGGTTTCCCCGAAGGGCTCAGGCGACCCCTCCACCTCCTCCTCCTCCTCCTCCTCCTCCTCCTCCCTCCTCCTCCTTTTCCTCCTCCTCCTTCTCCTCCTCCTCCTACTCCTCCTCCTCCTCCTCCCTCCTCCTCCTCCTCCTCCTCCTCCTCCTTCTCCTCCTCCTCCTCCTTCTCCTCCTCCTCCTCCTCCTCCTCCTCCTCCTCCTCCCTCCTCCTCCCCCTTTCCCTCCTCCTCTGCCTCCTCCTCCTCCTCCTCCTCCTTGGGTCGCCTACGGCCCCGGGGGAAACCGTGCAGGTGCGCCCCGCACGGCCAGGCCAGGGAGTGGTTGCAGAAGCACGGCAGACGCTCTCCGCGCTGACGCGGCGTGCGGCCCCGGCGTGGGCGCTCGGGGTGGAGCGCCGCGCCGGTGCGATGACCACACCCTGCCTGGCGGCGCGCACGACTCTGTAGGGGCTGGGGGAAGGAGTCTCAGAAGGCGGCTGCCTCTCAGAGGGCGCGGGCCCTGCATCTATAGACAAGGCCCGCTCCCTCTAGGAAGCAGGGGTGCTTCAAAGAAGCCTTCCCCTACTCCCCGCGCGTGCTCGACCTGTCCTGAGTCAGTGGGGATTCGGGGCAAGGTTTCGGGACTCGTTCTCCGAGGATGTCTCGGGCGGTTGGGGCATCCGAGGCCCCTCAGAGCCGTGCGGTGACGGACCGCGCATGTGATGACAGCTAGCACCCATGCCTCTGCGACCCCTATATTCCTCGGGGTGGAATTCGGTAGGGGGCTGTGGATGTGTGTGTTGTCGGATGGGAGTCCCTGCTCGAACGGAAGCCCCCCATCGGCCCATCGGGGTCCGACAACCCGCACCCATACCTACAGCGCCCTCATCTCATTACCCTTCATGCCCTATTGCGCCTCCAGCTCCTCCCTATAGGTTTGAGCGTGTGTTGTTCTTTCATCGCTCGAGAACGCCATGTGGTCTTTCGCCGCACGGTCTGTCAAGTTTTGTCACATCGTCGACCCCCGGAGGTCTCGACTCATTCCCCGTGACCAGTCTTCCGTCCCGAGTCGTTATTTGCCGGTACTGGAGCCCGGCGAGGGCCCCCAGAGGCTGAAAATTGGTGGTCTCCAAACCAGGTGGTGAGACACCCGGTGGTGACCCCGATTCCCCCGAAAAATAATTCTGGGTCACCACCGGGTTTGGGGACACGCGGTCGCCACGAGGTTTTGCGTCTCCTTGGCCAGCCAGCGCTCGAAAGACATTACCCAAATCGCCCAAAACTCACCACCGGGTGTTCTCACCACCACGTTTGGGGACCACCAAGAAAATATCCCACCCCAACCATCAAAGAACCCGCCGTGTATGTTCACGACGCGAGGGGGTCTGGGTTCTGTGATGATGACGATGATGATGACGATGGTGTTGTTGATGATGATCATGATGTTGATGATCATGGTCGTGATGATCATGCTTACGATGATGACGATGATGATAATGATGATGATGATGCTGATGCTGATGATGATGACCCTGATGATCATGATGCTGTTGATGCTGATGATGCTGATGATACTGATGATGATGCTGATGATGATGAGAATGATGATGAGAATGATGATAAGGTTGTTGATGCTGCTGAAAATGATGCTGATGATGATGATGTTGATGTTGATGCTGATGATGATAATGATGATGATGCTGATGTTTGTAATGGTGATTATGCTGATGATGATACTGCTGATGCTTATGATGAATATGATGACGGTGATGGCAATGATGCTACTGATGATGATGCTGATACTGATGATACTGGTGATGCTGATGCTGAAGATGATGAGGGTGCTGATGATGATGTTGATGCTGATGCTGATGCTGATGCTGCTGCTGCTGCTGCTGCTGATGATGATGATGATGATGATGATGATGATGATGATGATGATGATGATGGTGATGATGGTGATGATGCTGATTGCGATGATGATGGGGTCTTGGTCCCCTGGGACGCCGAGGTCGCCGCACGGCCTGTCACCGCACGGCTGGGGGGGAACCCAAGCTCCACACGGTTTGCCAGGGCGGCCGCCGGCGACATATCGCAGCGTGGGGCCCCCCGTTCGCCGGCTGTGGCCAGGCTAGGGGGACGTGTGATCAGATTCTGTGCCAGCATTTCGACAGTAAGTCATGGGATTCTTGTGTACCCTCGCAATTCCGTCGTTAGAGTGCACGAGCGTCGATTAGTCTGGTAATCGACGGGAAAGCGCTGATCTAGCGTCGATGAGCATAGGTTCGCTTCGATCGGCGTCGATTTAGATTCGATTAGCGTCGACGAGGGTCAATTAGCTTCGATTCTCAAGAGCCAAGAAGATGATATTGGAGAAATCCGCGCGGAGCTTCGAAATATTATATGTCTGCAGTTTTTTGTTCCACTAGATGGCTACACACTTTTTGGGCGTCGCGCCCACGCGCGCGGCGGCGCGGCGTAGAACCAGGTCAAGCGGGGGCGCGAACCAGCCCAGCTCTCGCGGCGAGGAGAAGCTGGGTCCACTCATAGGGGATCGACAGCAAGACTCACGGGGGGGCAGTCGTGAGGGGGCGGACGGAGGAAAGAGGGGGGAAAAAGGGGGGACAGAGGGGGAAGACGAGGCAGCGTGGCAGTGCCAAGCTGAAGCGGCGAGCGAGCCGTGGCGGGGTCGCGGCAGTGGCAGCCAACCAAGAAGGAGTACAACGACGGTGCAGGGAGCTTGGCCCAACCAGGGAGGCCCAAAGGGGACCCAAGCGCTAGGGCTACACACCGGTCACACACAGTGTTTTGGCGCCGCGGCCACGCGCGCAGCAGCGCGATGGAGTCAGTCAAGCGGCTGGGGATAGAAGCTGAAGGCGTTCGTTGGACACACACACACACACGTGTTCCGACGTCCACGCGGGCTTCTTTGAGGCCGCCCTCCCCACTGCACCCCCTTCCTCGGCGCTCGGAGCAGCGCATACTTCGAGGAGCGACGTGCACATAAAGCTGGCCTTTCGGAGGTCCGCGTGGAGTTCTTGGGATCGACGCTGTACTACCTTTTTCGGGCGCGCGGAGCTCACCTGGGCCGTTGCCAGAGGCGCCGCAAGACTGTTGCGCAATTGTCGCCACTTTCGTGAGCTCCTGGCAAATCCAGCGGAGTGGCCTCACACCCCGCCGTCGCCGCCTTTTCTGAGGCAGCGATTCTTTGGTGCATTTTCCGACTCAGAATTGTGTCGGACATGCAGGGCGGACATCACCGCCTCAGGAAAGTACGGGGGATACGTCCGCACACGGATGGTGGAAACAGCTACGACAAAGTCAGGCGAGAATCGACATCAAAGCAGCTTGAAGAGCAGGGAGGCCATCTCTGCCCTGCCTGCGAAGGCGCCCCGCCATCGCCACCTTTTCTGAGGCGGCGTTGTCCGCTCACTTTTTCGCATCCTGCGGGGTGCATCTCCGACACAATTCAAGGGCGGAGAATCCACCAAAGTACGGCGGATCCAGAGACATTCCAAGACGCCGTCGAGCAAGGCGACGAGGAGCTGGCGGAGCAGTCGCAGTCGCAGACGCAGGAGCAGTAATAGTAGGAGTTGGAGTGTTAGTGTTATTTGCGGCTGATGCCGTAGAGGGGGGAGGAGGAGGAGGAGGAGGAGGAGGAGGAGGAGGAGGAGGAGGAGGAGGAGGGAGGAGGAGGAGGAGGAGAAGGAGGAGAAGGAGGGGGAGGAGGGGGAGGAGGAGAAGGAGGAGAAGGAGGAGGAGGAGGAGGAGGAGGAGGACAAGGAGGGGCGGAGGTGCGGAAAGAGGGGGCGGAGGGTGAGGACGAGGAGGAGGAGGAGGAGGAGGCGACCTGAACGAGACCTCGCCGTCCCCGGGGGCTGCGATTGGCGTCTGCCCTTCTCGAGGGTGGCAAAGAGGGGGGTGATGACTAGGGGGGGGGGATACCATGGCGGGGCAAAGGTTTTTCCCCAGATATCATGGCGCCTCTTCTTGTTTTAATGCGTCCCTGGCCCCCCCGCTGGGCCGCGCACATGCCGCCAGTCATGATTTGCACCCCCCCCCTCTTGGACGCCCCCCTCTTGGCCGCTCCCGACCTTCGGAGCGACCGCGCCGCCCTCCATGCGGCGCGCCGGCCAGCCGCGCGCGAGCGCGCCGCAGCGGCGGCGGCCGGCGCCGCTGCTGCGCGCACTCGGCGCCGCCGCGGCGGCCTGTGCGGCGGGCCTGCTGGCCGGCAGCCGCGGCGGGCCCGCGGAGGGCGCAGGCGAGGCCCTGAGGACAGGGGGGCCACCTGCCCAGACGCCCTCGCGCTGTGAGATCACCAGCTTTAGGTCGGGCGTGTCCCCCTACAGGGGGCTTTTGGGCGAATATTCGGTAAACAACAAAGGAATCCACAGAAAATGCCCCAAAGATATTCAAAAGTGGTGGAAAAATCGTCCCCCGAATATTTTTGGAGTATTTTTTAGATATCCTCCTGTAGAGGGACAGGCCCGATTTAACACCAGCTCAAAACAGACGCCCAATCTCTTCAACGCGAAAGCCAAAACAAAACGCAGGCTCCTCGAGACTTCGGGGCGTGAGGTTTCGGGGCAGGGTTTTACCAGGGGGACAGCAGCGAACGCAAGCCATACCCCGAAATCTTTGTCTGGTGTTCGAGTCCTCGGTGACTTCGCGAATTTGGGATTGGGAGTGTGTGTGTGTGTGTGTGAGAGAGTGTGTGTGTTTTGGTCATGAAAAAAACACGACGAGAGGTATTTCTCCATTTTCGGCCTCTGGGGGCCCTTGCGGGGCCCCGGGGCCGTGAAAAAGAACAGCTCGGGACGAGAAGCTGGTCCAGGGGAAGGGGTCCAGACCTTTGGGGGTCAACGTTGTGAAATAAATCATCACGACGTCGGTGGTCTGGGTGCGAACCCTACCCCACTACCCTTGGATTTCTGAGCGGGGAGGTGGTGTTCACCTCGCTCGGGAGGTCCTGAGCGAAGTGAGCCCCACCACTCCCCCCTTAGAAATCGTGGGGTGGTGGGGTAGGGTTCGCAGGTGGACTCCCAGAGCAGGATCTGCGGCGGGCCCGCGGCGGACGTGGGCGAGGCTCTGAGGACCGAGGCCTCCTACTAGATGGTGTCCGAGCAGATGGGGTCGGAGGATCGCGCCGCATCGCCAATGCACCAATGCATCGGCCATACGGCTCGCACTGGCGACGTCGCCGATGCATCGCCGATGCATGGGCGATGTTGCGCGATCCTCTGACCACATCTACTCCGGCCCCATGTAGGAGGCCTCTCGAGGAGGATCTGCGGAGCCCGGCTACCGAGGCTCTACACGCCGGGGGCGCCGTCGTCCACGCCAGAGGGCCCAGAGAGTCCCTCGCGTTGCGGCACAAATGACGCTGGGCGGCGTTTTGCATTTTTTGTTCGGCCCATTGGGTCCCTCGCCCGGCCCCGGGACTGTGGAAGAACGACTCACCGTGGAAAGTTCGTCCTTGGGAAGGGGTCCAGATCTGTGGGGGCCCACGCTGTGAAACAGTGGGGGCCCACATTGCGAAACAAATCGTGACGTCAGGGATCTGGGAAGCTCGGCGACAGTAAAACGGGAGCGGCTCCGCCGGCAGAAGTTCGGCGGGAGCGGCGGAAGTAAAAGCAAGACGTCAACGTGGTTGGGTTTCCTGAGCCGGTCAGATTCAGGAGGGGAAAAAACATGCAGACACAATTCATCGTCGACTCCCAGGAAAATATGTGAGAAGATGGGAAATGGGGGGGAAGACAGAAACCCAGAAACTATGGGGAAACATGGGGAATCTTGTTATCTGTGTGTGTGTGTTTATGTGTGGTCCCTGGGCCACTCGACAGATCGATCTGAGGACGTGCCCCCGGAGGCCCCGCGGAGCGCCGGAGTCTGGAGGCGAGCCCAGGGGGGGAGGCGAGAGAGGGCAGGCCTCCTCGGAAGGCGGCGGGGCCGCTCGGAAGCCCCCGCGGATTCCGAGGAGCCTCTGCACGCCTTCTCTCGGGAGGGGAAAAAACACAGAGACACAATTGATCGTCGATGCCCAGGAGAATCTGGGAAAATATGGGAAGTGTGGGGGAAGACGAAAACCCAGCAAATGAATCCATGTATTTGTGTGTATTTATTTGTGTGTCTCAGGGCCCCTTCATTCTCCGAAGCCAGCAGGCGGCTTCTCAGAAGGCGCGAGGGCTTCTGAGAAGCTCTGCCGCCTTCTGAGAACCAGGAGGGACAAAAAGAACACACACACAGGCACAATTCATCATCGATTTCCCCAGAAAATGTAGGAAAAAAGTATGGGAAGCGGGGGGAAGGCAGAAACCCAGAAAATCGGGGGAATCCTGTTATGTGTGTCTATCTATTTGTGTGTCCGAGGATCCCTTCAGAGAAGGCCTGCCTTCTAGTCTTCTCTCGCTTTCCCCTAGGCTCGCCGCCGACGGATCTGGCAGTCTCGCGTCGTGTCGGCCGGCGGCAGCCCCAGCGCGGGCGTTGCAGGTGGAACGCCGCCAGTGGCCCAGAATCAGGCCATCGTCAAAAGATTCGTCGTTTCTGAGACGGCCGATCGTTCAAGGCTGAACGATCCCCGCGGCGTCGGGAACCAACACTGGTGTCGACACGACGAGAACCTGCGGTACAGTCAACCCGCATAATAAGGATGGGCAACCTTCCCAAGGGTACCCTTGCATCCTTGCCTCCTCGGCCCATCCTTCGCTGCTTTCGCTGGCCGCGCCCCGCTCGAAAAGCTTCGAAATCGGCATCCAAGGCGCATCCCTACTATACTGGTTGACTGTAGGTACTGGGCGCTGGTTGGGGTCCCTCGATCTTCACCTTCCGCACCTTCCGCGCTCCGCGGCGTCGTGGCCGCAGCGGCGGCCGCCGCCGAGGCCGCAGCGGAGGCCTCCGCGGCGGTCGCCGTGGCCAACGCGGCCGCGCCGCGGCGGCACCTGCCGCGCGGAAGACGCGGATCCAGACGCCCGCGCCTCGTGAGAAGCAGACGTGCTGATCTGTGTATGGCAAATGTCTGCCCGTGTGGGCCCCCGCCGGGCTCCCGGGCCGTGAGCAAAACTGCGAGCGAGGCCCGGGGAATCAGTCGAGGCCGATTGTGGCGTTGGAGATGTGGGAGGGTGGAGAGTGGACGCCGAGGGATGTCGGTCGATCTCCACCACGCCGGGGATGTTGTGGTCGGTCGATTCGCACCCGCGTGTTCCCAGCGCTGGCCACCATCGAACGGCGTTTACATCAGACATCTTGTTTGGCGCGCTCCTGGACATTTCCCGCCCTCAGGGGGCGGGGCGGTGTCTGTATCCAGCGCCACGCGAGGTCGTCGGGGGCATTTTCGAAGTCGGGGAATATGGGCGAGTCCCCAGCGTGCAGAGGCTGACTCGGGCCACGGACATCCACCCGAAGACGCCAGTGTCGACGAAGATCATCAAGGGCTACCTGGCCAAGAGCATGTTCTTCCGGTCCCTCGGCCCCGAAGAGATGACGGTGGTCATATTTGCAATGAGGCCACGAGAGGTGAAGCCGGGCGAGAGGCTCATCACGATCGGGGCGAAGGGGGATTCCATGTTCTTGGTGGTCTCTGGCGCCCTCGATTGCGTGATCCCCATCAACGGGACCGATACCGTCGTCAAGACGGTGCACGCTGGCGACATATCTCAGACACTTCGTGGCATGTTGCCGCCTGCACCACCATGAGGTAGCGAGGTCTTTGGCGCACAAGAGACTGTTTCTTTTTCCAAGCTCCGGCGGTAGCCCAGGTTATCGGGCCCGCCCGCCCCCCCCCCTGGATAACCTGACCTTGTCGGTTGCGCAGGTCCGCAGGGGGTACGCAGCTTTGCCTCGCGCGGGCATATCATGGGCTGCCCAAAGCGAAAAGCTTAGGTTCTCGGCTGGCACCTGCGCGCCCACCCCTGGGTAACCCGTGTTATCGCCACAAAGTGCAAAACGCTCTCCAATCGGAGGAGGGCCAGTTGAGACATCGGCGACTCTGCCGCCTGGCCGGAATACGTTGTGAAAAGCTGGTCCTTGGGCACGCCCCAGGGTCCCATTCAGAGTCCATGTCCCTCACGATACAGTCCCTCGCGCCTCTCTTGGGGAGAAGCGGGAGAGGGCGCACGACCCTGCGGAGGATGAGCAGTGGCGGTAGCTCCTGAGTGTGGAGCCAGCGGAGTGGGCGAGCTCGCCATACTCTACAATCGGCCGAGGGCCGCGAGCGTGGTGTGCCGGAAGCAGGCCACCGTGCTTGAGTTGCACGGCAGCGTGTTCTGGGCGGTCGCGAAGCAGTGCCCGGAGCTCAGACCTGGCCCAGACACCTTGGGCGTTGCAAGAAGTCATGGCGGCCGTTTCAAACCACGTTGGCGTGCGGCGTCTGCAGATGCCGTCCGTTGATGGGTCCCGGGGCTTGCAGAAAGCTACCTGGTGCGAGAGATCGGTCTTGGGGGTGGAGCTGAGTGCACTGGCCCTGAGATCCTGGCGCCGCAAGTTTTTCACATCCGCCGAATTCGGCAGGTTTCCTTCCCCGGGGCCATCGCCGACCGATCTGGCCTGAAAATTGGAGCAGAAAGATAGAGTCTAGGGTCTCGGTCTTGATTTCTTACGGTGTCGCATTGTTGTCGTGACGTCGGATCTCAGGAGGGGGGCTCGTGTCGCGAAAACAATGACATAAGTCTAGTCGGAAGTCTGACTGGGCCGAGGTGGGCTCAGGAGAGCGACCAATTCCAGCGTGCACGACACTTTCGGAAGTCGCTCTCGTCCCCTCCCACTCCTTGTAATTAGGTGATCAGCTTTCCAGGGGCGCCGTTTTGAAGCCCAGGCATTTCCGCAACGTTAGTTAATGACGCTCTCCTGTCTGAGGAGCAGTGGAAGCTCGTGGTGCGAACAATTTTTGATTATTTCGATTCGGACAAGAGTGGGCAGATTGACAAGGAGGAGGTACGCCTGGCCATGCGTTCTCTGGGTGCAATCCTCTCAGAGAAGGAGCTGGACGACTTCATGCGACGGCACGACTCAGACGGCAACGGCGAGATTGATTTGTTGGAGTTTACGGAGATGCTTGAAGAGTTGCCGTCTCGCTACGCAAATTTTGAAGACATCGCACCTACCAAGGAAGTTATGTAGGGGTGTGTCGGTTTTCCCAGATGGCCGATGCAGAGCCATACATACTTCGCATCGTGCACAGTGAGTGCCTCTCTGCCGATTTTTTTCCGCTCTGTATCGCAATTTAACACAATGCATTTCGCATCCGGTCAGAAGCGTACAGGACAGCTGAGCAACAGTGCATTGATTGGGTATCCGAAACAATTCTTCATGTCAGACGATTTCATCATCAGCGTAGTTTCGTAGGCCTGACCTGCAGTCGCCGCATATATGGAGGGTGTGTGTTTTTATTTTAATGATGGCCTCGCATCTTCGCTCTCTTGGCACGTTCTTAGCAAGGTTTTTCCTAGCCCCTGAAACGACGCCATCACTTGGACCCCCAGGGTTCCTGTATCCGGGCCTTGGTTTCTTACGTTGCGCCGCGGCTGTAGTGTACCTCTCCCTCCCCGCAGGACGTTGTCGTTCGCCTATGTCTCGGCACCGCCTCGATTGCACACCGCCTTGCATGTCGATGAGGTTTGCAAGGGCGTGCTGTCGTCCTCGTGACTGGTCCACGTGCTCTTGTCCTCATGACTGGACAGCCACTTGTGTTATGTATCTTTGTACCATGTAGATAGAGCGATGAGGTGATATATACTTCTGGAAGGCACCGCGCAAGACGGGGCTGACTGCCTCAGTCCCCCCCTGACCGCGTTTTGGCATCTGCTCAATTTACGCGCGGGGGGGGAGGAAGAGGTGGAGGAGATGTCTGCTACCGGCGAGCCTGCCTTCAACACAGTCGGGAGCCTTGAGACGGGGGTCAATGCAAACGGGGGTCAGCCAGGGCACCAGATCCTGCAGGATCCTGAGAAGACCCCCTCTGGTTGACCCGGGTTAGGGAGCCGCTCGTGGCCGCGAGGCGGCCGCGCATATTGGCTTACCCGGGTTTGCGAAGATTTGCGTTGCAGTTTTTTGTTCCCTGCATCGCAGTTTTTGGTTTCCCGCGGGTCAGAAGATCCCCGACACAGGAGGAGGAGGAGGAGAGGAGAACATTAAGATGTCTCTCCTCTGGTTCTTTTTGACCATGCTAGACCGTTCATACTCCTCACGTGCCATGCCCTGGCGTCCCAGAATTTTGACGTGGGTGCCCATCGGGGCGCGGGGTGCGAACATGCGTCGAGACGAGGAGGACATCGAGCAGGATTAGGCGCAGGAGGAGCTGCGCCGAGCTCTCTGCTCTTCATCGCGCCCCCCCCCCCCCCTGCGCTTCCCCGTTCGCCCTCGCTCGCCCTCCCGCCCCGGCAACTGTGGACAGGGGTCGGCTGCCTCCTGAACGCCACTACCAAGGGAGGAAAAACCACCCGGAGGAGACAATCGGCGTTTACTAAACGGCCTTGGCGTTTACGAAGCAGCCCTGCCTTGGTCGGTTCCTTCAGTGGGGGCGTTTAGGAAACGGCATCGCTTGTCGGGGTGGTTAT